ATATATATATATATTATATTTTATAGTATATTTATTATATTCAAATATATATTTTTATATATTTATTATATTTATATAATTAAGCACAAATATGTATTTTCTAGTTATATTTTTACATTATTGATTTTTATTATTTCATTATTTTAGTTATGTTATTTACATTTTTATTGAAAAACAATTCAAATGAAAATTTTAGTTAAAATCGTTTTCCAGTTCTAGCAATTCATTTAAATAGTGATTGAAAATTAAGTTAAATCATCTTTTGGAGAAAAAAGCTGTATCAATGGAGGAAAAGAGTGACATTTTTAATAAAAATAGAAGCGTTAAGAAACAAACGTATCTTCATGCACAACGTAACAACAATACATATGTAAAAATGATTAATCTCATGATTTACGGTGAAATTTCACACGTCACGTGCTCGTTTTTTTAAAAAAATGATCTATTAAGAAAAGCATAATCCTATTAAGTGGAAACAATGACTATTGAATACGTACAAAGAATTTAGCTTCGCAATAGTATCCAGGACTTTTCATTGCGACAAGCATAATCAATCATCTCTTTTTCTAAATATTCGCACTTTAGAAATTGTAGAAGGAAAAAAAAAAAGATTTAAGAAACACATGTTTTCTTCATAGTTTGTGAGGCAACAGTGGGTCAATGTCGAATGAATCACGACTCAACTATGATTATTAGAAATTTTGTAATTGTTTCCCTTTCTGATTCTAATTATCAGTTTGCGTGCTTCGCACTTTGAACGGTTTCAGGCTGTATTTCGAAACTTCTGACAAACCTAAATTATATAAGATCCCGAAAAAAGAGAGGAGAATCTTCAATGAACTAGAATTAGGAATTCTCATAACGCGAATGACCAAATAACTTATGAAAATTCGTTATGTTTTCTGAAGTAAGAGATTTGTAATTTGAAAACGAAAAGAGTCGATACTTTAATTATATTAATTTAAAAAATAATTTTTGGAACCTATGTGCAAAAAAAGATTATACAACTGATTTCGATAACCTTCAAATATACTTATACTACAGTATTCCTATCTAGTCTGCTGTATTCTATACTACAATAATCCTATTGGTACATTTTTTTGTTAAAACTAAATTTTTAAATTTGGCACTTAAAGCATTTTTTTACAAGAATTCTTCAAATATATTTCCGAATACAACAAATACAGTATATAGAATAAAAAGACATGATGATATCGAACGATCATGGTGAGCTCAAGAACACCTGTCAAATAATAATTTGTCAATATAAAAACAGATTTTTAAAGAATACAAATTTAGTAACAAATCAACTTGAAGTCGAGTTTGAATTTAAATAAGAGAGAAAAAATAAGAAAATTTTAATTTCTGGACTTTAAAATAAGGAGATAGGTTAATATTAATACGAAGCTATTTTTTATTGACTAAAGTAAGCAATTTAGAATTTATGAAAAACAAACGATATGTGAATAATTTGTAGCCACGAAAAAAATTGTTTAATATTTTTAGAGATATTTAAATTTCTCACGAGAAAAAAGTACTTGCCTTGCTTATTTAAAAAAAAAAATGAATTTATGTTTTATGTTCTGTTGAGACCAAATGGATTGTTATATAATTTTCATGACCAAATGATTGTTATATAATTTTTCTTTACGAAGTTATAACAATTTAAATTATCGACAATTTTCTATCCTTGTTGGTTCAATTATGTTATTCACTTCATGTCTAAATTGTTACACTAATTACATGTTCTGAGGACTAGTTCATATTTCTATGACGCATATCGTACAAAAATAGACTCATTATTAATCCTTCTCAAATCTATATGATCTGAATGGATATTACATTTTAATATATATTATATTATTATTTCTGACCGTCTTCTGAAATTATATTAATGATAAAAGTGATATATATATAATGATACATTGAATTCTAGTGATTTCAACATTATAAATAGAAATATGCATAATTATCAATAATAGATATATACGTATTAATATATAATTGTAATTATTATGTTTATTACAATGTTAAACATAAATTAAAGAAAAACTCGACTCGTATTTCCCAATTTTAATATCCTAGTCTGCAAAGGGTTTATATATTTGATTTTGTATATATTCAATATAACTTTACAATTTATTGTACGTTCTATGCTTTTTATAAATAAATAAAATTTTATAAAGAATATAAATAAATAAAATATTATAAGAAAAAAGATACCTGAAGAAGTGTTAAAATAATGAAAAAAAAAATAGCAGGATTAACATCTCTTGTATTATCTCTTGTTAATTACAAAAGATTAAAACTGAATTGAATGAAAATGTATTTTTGGCTGTTTAAGTGTCCATCATATTTTATGTTGTCCATCTGTATACATGCAAGTAGACAAAAGAATATCATTGCCATTGCTGGTAATTTATTTCGTGTTCGTTACTGCTATTTTACTGCTATTTATTTACTGCTATTTATAAAAATTATAAAATCAAACACGTATCGAAATTACTATTTTATAAGCTCGGTATTTTAATTCCATTACACGTATATATTATTATTATGTAATTTAATTTGGCATACTATCAATAACTAATTAATATAAACGATGACACGCGTTTGAAGTTGATGATTTAGTTAATAGCGTTGTACCGTTAATGCCATCGAAAATGTTCTAGTAGCTTGAACCTTTTACAAAGTTGCTGCTTCGGGTCTTCATTAAAGCTTGACTCCATCAAGTTTGATGCCACAGAGTTTCAACACGTCTACTGTCTTGTAATCGATACCCTTCAAGCAATAACATTTTCTTCTCGTGATAACTTACGTGTTCTATTCTTAGACATGAAGCAAAATTATGCCTGACATTCACAACTTCCGGTTTTAGAATGATGTAGTACAAGCGTGCTACTGTAAACTTTAAACCGATGAAAATGGGAATTGTCAAATCTTACGTAATAATTGACAACATTGCTTTAAATATGAGAAGAAAAGGGGAATAATGTCCTTAAACGTGTTTTAATACTCAATAATGAGGAACGAATATGTAATTGTAAAATTTAAAATATTACCACGAAAAAATTTTTAGCTGTTTTCCAAGTGAAATCACAAGAGAGTGTTATATGAAGAATAATGGTATTTATAAAAGAATTAAAGAAGATTTCAGTAATCTCAAAATATATTGTAGAGACCAGTATTCTGAGTAATTTCGATTATATATGTATGATAATTATCGTATAATTAGCTTTAATCAAAGGTATTATATTATACTCGTATTATTATACATTGATTATTATTTAGATTCATATATCTAATTTAAAGAACTGTAAACATTTCTAGACATAAGCGAATAGTATTGAGATTGGAACTCTAGATTAAGTCTTTATTAGATGCAGATTATCTTAATTTTTTTATTTAACTATTTTTATTTAACATATCCATAAAAAATATATAATTATTATATATGACAGCAAAATATCTTTTTTTTATTTAATATACCTATCAAGAAAAATCTGTAGAATTATTTTACAATAGAAGAAATGCATTGAAAATTTCATTGGATTATAGATCTCAAAATAGAAAAGAGGAAGAAAGAAACTTTTAATACAATCATACAAGATATTAATATACGTGTCTAATGAATTTTTCATTCATTTATATAAAATATATTTTATGAAAGAAATGCCTTTTTTAGAATCCCTCAATTATAATTCTAATCCCTCAATTATAAAACTAATATTATCCAACAGATCAAAAGGATTTTTGTATAAAGTTTTGTCAAAATACAGCAAATTTAATCGATTAATTACCTTACGATTTTCTTCTCAATCTTCAGTGAACATTAGTTATTATAACATTAGTTATTGCACCATGCCAAATGTAGAGCATTGCATATATACAATTTATATTTATTAATCTCAATTTCTTAAACTTAACTTAAAATTATAACTCAAAGGACTTAATCGTTGGATTGAAGAAAAGGAAAAAGGGGAAAAGATAAATTCGTTGTCACGGCAGGCAAGAAGAAGATTCTTCGGCAAAACGCTTTTATTTATATACAAAAATCACAAGTTAAAGTATACGTATAATATATACTATCGACGCTCGATACGCGTCCTCGCAGCTGCGACAGTGTCATCCATTTTTCGCATTTTATGTATGTGAAAGCAGCGTGCGCGCATCGGCACGATCCTGTCGTAAACTGTTGAAACAGTGCGCATTACTTTCATCTATACAGGTAAGGTAAAGAATCTCAAAGTATTCAGTTATTATATGTCGGCTGGCTTACGCCATATCTTTTTTCTGTTACGTATAATCCTAGATTAATATACCACACTATATTTATTTTTATGATCGCATTGGAGGCTCAGGGTCGGTTCTGTCCATGGCAAGCTGGCTCGAAATCAGGTCACGTTTGAGGTATAGTTGGGCTGATTAACCTGCCGAAACGAGAAGCTTGTTAATTGTCAGAAAATACTTCCCACTTCGTTCACGTAATTTCTATCAAACATCTGAATTTAGTATTAAATAAATTCTTAATATGAAGCATACTCTACTAGACATTGACTACGAATCAAGAATAAGAGCCTTCATATTTCTATTTTAACATAATATTCTCTATTTAACTGATCAATTTAATTTTAACTCATAGGAAGATTTTCAACAATTACTGAACTGAATAAAAAAGATGTATCTCTAAATGACCTCATTTAGTGTATTAAAGTTTAATGCTGTAGCCAAAGATTATTATACATATGAATCACTAGACTGTGGATTTTTATACAAATTGTGAATACAATTAAAACTGTATATTGATAATGAGTAGCTATATTTTGGATATTTCGTATATTTTTGTATACTGTGAAACTTCTTATTAAAGATTAAAAAGTATTTTTCATTTGCTGGAAAACTTGCTATCTCGCACGAATAATAAAAAAACAAAGAAGTAAATTTCGAAGAATGTAAAGTGTGAAAGTCAATTTTACAGACACGTTGCAATGCGGAAACGGGCGATTTAACTGGAGGAGCCGTGAAAACTCAAAGTCTCATTAGGGTAGGTAAAAAGAACATACCTCGGCCAGGTGGTCGTGGTTGACCGCCGTCATCCTCTTCTGGGTGAGCCGCGTTCCACTCGAGCGCCCTTTGAATCTCTGGCGGTATCGGTGGTGCCGTGGGGATGTGAGAGCCTTGCACTTGGAATCCATTCTCGTCCGCTACGTATGTGATACTGACTTGCTGGCCATCCGGCGCCGTGTAAGAATCAGAGCCTTGCGAGACAACCGGTGTCTCGTTATCTACTTGTTTAGGTTGTCCCGATTCTTGGTGACTGATGCCGTTGCTTGTCTCGAAGCTGAACAATAATTACACAAATAACATTGGATTTTGTGCCGATTGAAGTAATTTTCATTCTGTGGAAAAATAATTATTTCATCAATATATTGAATTAAACACCGAATCAGAAGATAATTAAGTCGAATCTTGTCCTTCTATAATTGGTATTTGCTGAAGAATACAAGAGAATTATATTTTCAATATTATTGATTTGAATAAAATGAGGCAGAAAATGGCTCAATTATTGAGCTTTGAATTTTTTTCTGGGACAAATTAACCAAGACAATGAAAAAAAATTTTTTTTTAAATTCCATGCTTAAGTTAATACTTTCTAAAAGAAGAAAGCACAGAATTATAATATTTGTACAACCTTAATAATTTATCAGGATATTTAAAAAATTGTGCACAATAAAATTTTTAAAACAATTACTATTCGAAAATAATTATTATCATTAATTAGAAAATGAGTAAGATGAACATTAATTTCGTACAATCGCGTTTTAATTAACACTTGACTGTGCACAATGTCTGTAATGAAAATTGTATCCTTTGGAAATAGCAGTCTAAAGTTTCAACAGTATTACATTTAGCTTTATTGACGTAGTGTTGATCGATACTGATACTGTCGAGGTATTCAATGAAATTAAATACAACGCTGATGTAATACTGAAACATTTTTCCAAAGGGATGCTGTTCAACTCAAATATTTTAAGCAATAATTAATTTTCTGATTTCATATTACATAATTTTAAAATAATTTAAAATTTAATCTACGATTAAATTATTTTATTAAATACTTTATAAATGCAATACCATTTAAATATCAAATCGACTATATAAAAAATTATATAGCAATTTATTATATATTTATATAATTCATATATGTATCTTATATATATAATTTATTATATGTATATGTATCTGTTTATTATAC